TTTATATCTTAGTTTTTTTTAAACTTGTTAATACAATCATGGACAAAGCCAGGATTTTAGTTCAAGGGAGAAAAAGTATAATTAACAATAGAAAATGTAGAGGATAAAATCAAAATAAATCAAAATTTAAAGGCTTAAATAGATAATTATTCCTATAATTTTTTAATGGTAAAAGAGATTTGGGAGGCAGTGGCCCCAAGGGAATGATAGGATTATTATAAATTGATGAAAAGAAACAGAATCACTGTGTAGCTTTATCTAGATTTGTAAGTAACAAAGAAGTGTGTAGATGAAGTTGAGTAATCCAAGGGAAAGTGTAGATGCTTCTTGCAAGCTTGAGATGCTTAAAAGACTCTCTAAGTTCATGTGCCCCACACACTTCGTCTCCACCAATCAATTATTCAGTGTTGTTGCACAGCAAAACATTAATTGGAGTATAAATTAGGAATAAACCAAGTAGTAAAGTTTTCAAAATATCATTTCATCTCTCTCTCTCTCTCTCTCTCTCTCTCTCTCTCTCTCTCTCTAAATCGGTTAAGCGCGATTTTTTAGAAGAAAAGAAAATTTATTGATAAGATGTCAAATAAGATATAGAAGTTCACATTTCAAAAAGCATAGTTAACATGACATGTCTTTACCGTAAGAGGAAAATGTTTTACGTACACGTTAAATAAAATATTACGGATTATAATTCGTGTTTTACGTTAACGTGGTGTCATGTGATATAGGACACTGATCATAATCTGATGCCTTTCTGAGATGGTGTTAGATCTATAAACTTTTCTGAAACGGTATCTTAAAGTAATTAATTCTGTTAGGGTGATATTTGTGTAAACACGTCAACTTTCTTTCATATTTTTTGTGTGTAATTAAAATCTTTAAATATGCTTTCGTAAATTATTTTATAACTCAATAATTTTTTTTTATAAAATTACACAATATAATTATATCTACCAATTACCACTTAGTACTTTCTAATGTTTTTCTGACCCTTTCAAAATCCTATACGTATAGTCTAGTCTAGGAAAATTTTGAGAGTAAATAATTTAAAATATGAATAATTTTATAAAAGTTTTATAACTAGTATTTATTTTTCAAAATGATGATTATGATGATAATAATAAGAAATATTTTATAATTTAAAAATTATAAATTTCATATATTTTTGAAAAAATTCTTAATTTTTAAAATTAATTGTTTAAAATATAAAAAATATTAAAATAAAATTTTAATTACAATTGAGGGATCAAATGAATTATTATTCATCAATTATTATTTTTAACAACTGTTAATAATGTGTATTCATTTTTTAATAAAATTAAAATTTAATATTTGTTTTATATTTTTTAAAATTAATATTAAAAAATATTTTAAATATATAAGTGATATTTTTAGCTTTACCTTCTTTTTTATTAAATTTTTACAAGTTTAGAGAATAACACAAAATAAAGAAAAATCTTTAGATTTTCATGTATGTATTTATACTTTTCTTTTATTTAACATAATTTTTCTTAATTAATTTAAATAATAGAATAATAAATGATTAATTTGAGCTATATCTCATATATATACTCCATTAATGCAGAAAGTGACAAGTGGTAATTGATAAATAAGTTATAAAATAATTTACAAAAACATATTTAAAGATTTTGATGAATACAATTTTTTGCACACAAAAAATATAAAAGAAAGTTGACATTTTTACGTAAATATTACCCTAATAAAAATTAATATGTAGTGTTACATCAGTGTAAAACGCGAATCATGATCTACGTCTTTTTGTAAAAGCTGTTAAATTTATAATATTTCCTTTAACGACATCTTACACAAATAAAAAAAATGATTTTTCGGTAAATACGCCGTAAGATTAATAGGAGTATAAATTAGGAATAAACCAAGTAATAAAGTTTTCAAAATATCATTTCATTCATCATCACACACTCTCTCTCTCTCTATCGGTTAAGCACCATTTTTAAATGTCAAGAAAGTTTATTGATAAGATGTCGAATAAGATAAAGAATTTCACATTTCAAAAAACATGGTTGACAGGACATATTTTTACTGTACGCGGTAGAAATGAGTGCTATTTCCAATATATAATCTTATGAGAAAACAATTTTCATAAATATTTTTTTTAAAAATGATGTATATCGAGAATTATATCGATGATTGCGTATTTACTGAAAATCACAGATTTTTTTATTTACGTCACACTGTTAGAAAAAATATTACGTCATGATCTATTTCTTACGTTGATATGACGCCACGTGAGATAATATATGCGACTTTTTGGGTGGGTGCTAGATTTGTAAAATTTTCTGAAACAGTCCTGAGAAGTAATTAATTTCTGTTATGGTGATATTTTTGTAAAAACATCAACTTTCTTTATTTTTTGTGTGAAAAAAATTTTATGCATTAAAATCTTAAAATATGTTTTTGTAAATTATTTTATAACTCAACAATTTTAATTTTTTTTGCATAAAATTACATAATACAATTATGTTTACTAATTATCACTTGATATTTTTTAATGTTTTTTTGACCCTTTCAAAATCTTATACGTATAGTCTAGTCTAGGAAAACTTTAAGAGTAAATAATTTAAAATATGAATAATTTTATAAAAATTTTATAACTAATCTTTTTTTTAAAATGATGATGATGATGATATAATAATAATAATAAGAAATATTTTATAATTTAAAAAATTATAAATTTTATATATTTTTGAAAAAAAAATTAACTTTTAAAAATATAAATATAAATATTAAAATAAAATTATAATTATAATTTAGGATAAATGAATTATTATTTATTATTTATTATTTTTTAATAACAGTTAATAATGTGTATTCTTTTTTAATAAAATTAAAACTTAATATTTATTTTATATTTTTAAAATTAATATTAAAAAATAATTTTAAATATATAAGTGATATTTTTTAACTTTACCTTCTTTTTTTTATTGAATTTTGTTACAAGTTTAGAGAATAACACAAAACAAAGAAAAATCTTTAGATTTTCATGTATATATTTATACTTTTCTTTTATAAACATTTTACTATAATTTTTTTAATTATTTTAAAAAATAGCAAAATAAATGATTAATGTATGTATTTATACTTTTCTTTTATAAACATTTTACTATAATTTTTTTAATTATTTTAAAAAATAGCAAAATAAATGATTAATTTGAATTATAACTCTTATATATACTCTATTAATGCAGAAAGTGTCAAGTGGTAATTGGTAAACATAATTGTATTGTGTAATTTCATGCAAAAACTAAAATTTATCGAGTTATAAAATAATTTACAAAATCATATTTGAAGATTTTAATGCATAAAATTTTTTACACAAAAAAATATGGAAAAAGTTGACATTTTTATAGAAATATCACCTTAAGATAAATTAACTACTTGTTAGGCATTGTTTCATAAAATATTACGGATCTAGCATCATTTCAACATTGTGCCACATCAGTGTTACGCTAAACTTTAAAGCAATGTTTACTTATTAAAGAATTAATAGTATATCTCCCGTAATCATGCTCTGGAGTGACTACTGGTGATTCCTGAAATAAGTCGACATCATTTTCAAAACCGCACGAGGCAATGTTCATTTATTAGGCACAATAGCTGATCTCCCGCATTTACGCTCGGGGGCGAATGTTATCGTTCTCAATAAATGAATACCCTTTCAACTTTGCATCCTTAATGATTTTTAAATTAAATAGAGATCGCACTCAAAATTTCTGATTTTAAATATAGGGTAATTAACTAGGTACCAATTTTTGGGCGCTTGTGGGAGTGTTAATCCTTCCACATGCGTAAACGACTCACGAACCTGATTTCTGGATTTTCGTAAACCCCAAAACTCAATATTTTGATAAAAATAAAATGTTTTATTAAAATCACCCGGTTTTTATGGTGTTCAATCTCACCTTAAATGATTGGTGGCGACTCCTCACATTTCGAAAATCATTTCAAAGAGAAAACTCCCGAGTCGGTATCGGTCTTTCCACGCCCGGACGAAAAACGATGTCAACAGCCTTTCTGCAAAGGGTGTTAGATCCGTAATATTTTCTCTAATGATGTTCGACACGTAAATAAAAAAATAGGGTAACTTTTTGGTAAATACGCCATAAAATTATAAAATTTAAAGAATGTGAAGTTAAATTATTATTAAAAAGAAACTTTATTACGGAAATGATAATGCAATTTGGGAATGGGTCAGTAGTGTGGGAAAGGTAAGTCACCCTCGCTACTATCTTGAAACTTACTTGGTGTACTTTAATCTATTCCTTATAGGAGGAAAAAAATAGAAGATAGTACAGAAGAAGCATTAGAAGTGAGAAAGATATTTTGAGTTCAATTAAGAGATTGTTGGTATTCAATTAAAGGGAATGAATATAAATAATTAGATAGTCTCAATATTTACCTTTATAATAATTCGGGGTGTTGACTACCCACTTTTATTGTAGTAGGTTGAATTTTGATGAGATATTTTATATAGCAAAATTATGCATTTAGATAATAAAAATTTAAAATTATCCCAAAAAAAATAATGCAATTTGTTGTTGTTGATGTTAGTATTATTTATTTTGTACGAAAATCCAAGCAATGGCCCATAAATAGGTTGAGTGCAGGAGAGGATTTACTTTTCATACGGCAAAGCAATAGATTGGAATAGGATTCGACTTCCACGTGGCAGAGCATTACAAGAGGATCCACGTAGCCAAACATTAGATTAGAATTGTTTAAGCTGGTTTAATTTTCAATTTTTCACATGGCAAAGCATTAAATTAGAACAATATAAGAGTTTAAACTTAAACAAAAATTCAATTCAATTCAATTCTATCTTAATTTAATTTATAAATTCAACTCAATTTTTTTAAAATAAGATTTAAATTATACTCAAACATTTTCCACCTGGCTCCATCCACTTCGAGTTCAACAATAAATAACCCCCACGTAACCTTGCCGTCCTTCCTGCTCAAAATCCAATTAGTGTTTCACCAAATCTTCTTTCCTCTCTCCCACCGCCAACACGATCTTTCTTCAACCTTCGAAACGTAAATTTAAATACTTGAAACGCACTACGCTACTTCCCTCTTGTCTGTAGTATTTCAGGCCAGAGTCCGGACAGCAAAGAGACGTGTTTTACAGGTACAAGAAAGACAGGAGACCATTTCTTGGATTGCATCCATGAGATCACATCTATGGCTTTGCCTAGGATGACTCACTCTGCTTACCGAGTTGAAACCATTGCTCGTCTTGCTCAGTGGAGGATTGACGATCTTCCCTCCTCCACTTACCGCAAGTCCGATGCTTTCAAGATCGGCTACTGGAACTGGTCCGTCAAGTCCCATTCTTTATTTCCCATTACGAAGATTCAAAACCAAAACTTATTCAGATAAAAGATCATTTAGTTGTTACTGTAGTTCTTCTGAGATTCCTAGAGTTTTTTTTATTGGAACCATGTTCTTATACCTTGGTTTTTTTTTGGTGGATTGAAGGCATTTGGCGGTGGAGAAGAACAGAGCGCTGTATGTTAAACTATACCCAGAATTCTCAAATGTAACGAGAGAGAATCCCCCCATTGCATCCTTCATAATCCAGGTTGTCTGCTCAGCTGGAGATCGAAAATCTTTCACTCATCCAGGTAATATTTTGACGAGTGTATAAATTGAGATGATTCACAGTCTTCCATGCTTATTTTTGTTTTCCAATTCTGTCGTCTCTGATTGTAGAAATAACAGACAAGCAGCTGAAGAAGAACGACGATTTCGTCTGGCCGGTTGAGGCTCCTTTGACAGGGACATACATTATCGACGTTGAATTTCTCGATCTCAAGACTGCATCTTCGAAAGTAAGAGTCGATCATGTATAAGATGATACTAAGAATATAAGTTAAATAATATCATGCCTGAATTAACAGTTATAAGTTTGGTGTTGATTCACAGGGTGGGGAACCTTGCTCCATTTGGACTGAAGGGTTCACACAAAATCAACCCAATTCAGTTGTTCATGCATGTCTCGGTCATATGTTAACACAGGGCATCCACATGGACATCGTTATTAATGCTTCGAATGGGAGCATCGGAGCCCACCGTGCTGTTCTTTCCGCACGATCGCCTGTTTTCCACAGCATGTTTTCGCATAACCTGCAAGAAAAAGAACTCTCAACCATAAACATAGCCGACATGTCAATTGAAGCTTGTCGGGCTTTCCTATGTTTCATTTACGGAAATGTCAAACATGAAGAGTTTCTGCCCCACCGGCTAGCACTTCTCCGGGCAGCTGATAAGTACGATATCTCGGACTTGAAAGAGGCGTGCCACGAGAGTCTGCTAGAAGATATCGATACACAGAATGTCTTCGAGAGACTCCAAACTGCAGTTTTATACCAACTTCCAAAACTTAAATCCAGTTGCCTGCAATATCTTGTGAAATTCGGCAAGATATATGATATTCTAGACGATTTTAGTACTTTCATGCAATTTGCGGAAAGGGAGCTGATAGTTGATATATTCAATGAAGTTCTAAATACCGGGAAAGGATCCCAAGATTCCACCAATGGTAAACAACAAAGTTAAGCATGTTTAAGTCGGCAGTACTCATAGCATAAACGAAGATTATAGCGAGCAGGATCATGCATGTAAGGATTATTCTTTTGTTTATATGGAATTCATGTGTCCATGTAGATATACATATATGGGATTCATGTGTACACATGTAATGTATTTGTTCCATTTGACAAGAACATGCTATCCTTGTAATCAAAATTTAAGTAATGCTTGGAATCTTGTATTTCATTCATGACAAATTCATGCAACTCATGAAGTTGCATAGGTGAAAACAGTATACAAATAGTGTTTTATTTATAACCCAAAAAAAGGTTACTTTAAAGGTTAAAACAGAAACCTTAAAACCCAAAATCTTTCAGGTACGCCATTCACCAATGTTGGACTCAAATATCCCATTTGAAAGGGAAAATCTCAAATGCGCTACCAATAACCAAAGCATCAAAGAGATGGAAAATATCACTCTTCAAATGTTTGACTGACCTCACTGCCCTCGGCCTCACCCCCATCTTACTTCTTGTCTCCTTCGACGGCATCTCCATTTGAGCAATGGGTCTTCAAGACTGTAGAAATGTCAGCTTCAGAAGCTCCAGCCAGCTTGAAGCGCTCAATGGCGGTATCTAGATTTCTTTTCCATCCATCAATTCCTAATTTGCATTCAATTTGGGATCGTTCAAAGAGCATGTTGCCCCAGAAAAGATGTATCTGTGATCTCATCACAGTTGCTTGTTCAGCTGCCTCCTCTGGTGAAAGCTCACCCTGACTTCCTGGGAGCCCACCCACTGCAGCAGTTCCGAACTTCTTCCTCCTCTTCAACAAATCATCCTTTTTGATCTAATTTGGATCTTTCAACTCATTTGCTCTATGCTCCTCCAACTTCTTCCACATTTCTGTCGCTGCTTTCATCTTCTCTTCAGTACTGTCGAAAAGTTGAAATGTGTCAGCAGGATTCCAGCTTGAGAGATCTATTTTCTTTGTAAGTGCAAAAGACCAGTTAAGTTTGGCCATTTCAAATTGTTGTTGTCCTAGTGCCAACAACCCTTCATCAAAGTCCGACTTGATTAAGAATGCTTGGGCATACTTCTCCCTGGCAAAGAATACTTTTCCCTAACCCAGTCATACGCAACTTGAAGTTGTGCTGACACTACCTCCTTGCCAGTGGACTCGTCTAGGGGAATACGTTTCCTTGCAGCACACATATGAACATTTCCCCAATTAAAGAAGGCTAATGTAACCACCTCTTGGAATTTGGCAGCAGCTTTGTCAAAGAGGTTTTGAGCTTCTTCGCTAGTAACTGTCTCCTCTAGAGCCTCCGAACAGAGCTCCATTCCAAGCTCATGCAAGTCAATATGAGCATCAGGATCAATACCTACTTTTTCCTTCGAAGCTTCTTTCTCTATCGTTTCAATCTCAGTATCAACACCTTCCGACACGCTATCACCAAGAGACAAGTGAGACCCGATTTCATTAGCCTTGGCTCCTTCACTCTCCAAAGGCTTCTCCTCATCCTCTTCTGGTAATAGGGATGGCAAACGGATGGGTCGGGTGCGGATACTTTCTCCCCATCCCCATACCCATCTAATATTTTTTAATCCATCACCCGCCCACCCATGATGGGTAAAAATTTTCAAATTCACACCCGCCTACGCGGTACATTCTCAAATCTATCCCCACACCCACTACCCAACTAGAGACGTACCCGGATAGACCCGCCTGATAGCAAACTTAAGTTATACATAAATAACAAACATAAAACAAACACGTCCATTAAGAAACATAATAAAATAAACCAATGATTATTCGAGTTAAGTGTTAATATAGATCTTAAAGTACATAAAACACCATAATAAAAGACATAATTAAAGTCTAGAAACATAAATGACAAACACATAATGTTTTTGTTCTTTGACACAACATTCTAAAATTTCAGGCAATACTTGTGACATCTGATACTCCAATATTACAATCATCATTCTCTGTCCTACCATCTTTCCCCTAAATTATCAAAAACTCTCCTACCGTCTTTAACATTCTAAAATTTCAAGCAATGAAGTCCAAGAAACCATATTTCTTTCCCCTAAATAATCAAAAACTCTCCTACCATCTTTAACATTCTCTGTCCTCGTATGCATATATAAAAGATAAGTCCCTACACGAATATCCTCAAGTAACCCAAGTTTCAAACGTTGGCAATGAACTTGTCTTCTAGATATCACATTAAACAAGCATCCGCATACCTTTAAAACACATGATAAAGTGGATCAATCAACTAGCAAACCAAAACGATGAATACCGAAAAAGAAATTTAGAGCTTCCTTCTTGTTGTTATTGCGAGAGTAGTCGAAGAGTAAACCATTATAATGGGAAAGGCCTGGTTGGTTGACTCGCAGTAAACCGTGGTTCGACTAAAGATTAAAGACTAAAGAAGAGACCAGATTAAAGACTAAAGAAGAGGAAGAAACGTACCTTAATAAGCTGGAGAGTGGAGACCAGAGGTTTAAAAGATCGGCGCAGAAACAAGAGGTTTGAAAGATCGGCGCAGTAACGAGAGATATGAAAGAACAAAATTTATGCATAAACTTATCCATAATATTTGGTTAAATTACAAGTTATATCTTGTACAATATTAGAATTTATAAATTACTCTCTAAAATTACACCTAAATTCATAATGGTCCAAAATTTAATGGATATTTAACTGAATAGACAGATGTGGGGCGGGCGGATGCGGGGCGGGTAATGTCTCAAACCCATTACCCGTCAACTACCAACGACGGATACCAATTTTTAAATCCACACCCTCCACTCCCCGCTAAAATTATTCCCATCCCTGCTCCGATTGGAGCGGGTGCGGAATCCATGAAATTATACCCGTTTACCATCCTATCCCTAGTAATGGTGGCTCCTGTTCTGGACTCACCTCAACAATGTGCAATCTCAACATCCCAAATCCACCAGTTTTATATTCTTCTGGTTCCGAAGGAATATAAGAATCAACAGAAGACTCCGCCAACCTTAGTTCTGTCGTGCAGGTAATAGTAACCAAATCTCCATCACTATCCTTGTATTTGACCAATACTGACTTGGATGAAGGAAAACGCTTGCTCACAATCTCTCTCAACACTTTGAAGCTGCTATTAACTGGTATTTGGGAAAGCCTTATGTCATGATCGTAAACAAGTTTCAAAGGCCTCCATCGAATTGCTGCCTGCTGAACCTGCCCATGAACAGAAGATGAAACCAACTGATCTCTGGGGCCACCCTTATTCAGATTATTAGGTGCTTTCGAAGAACCACTTGAGGGCTTCAGCACAAGTCTTGGAAACTGGGCCTTGTTATCGGTACCATTTTCAGTTCCTGCATTCCTTTGGATCTTCTCCAGCTTATTATTTGGTGATCCAACTGATCCCCTGGAGGCGATGATGCTTTCTTAGGCACCGGGAGAGCAAGTAAGCAAGGCCCAATGCCAGCAATTGGGGCACCACGAACAGCAGAAGCCCTTAGTGCAGCCGGGGAGGGACGGCTCTGGAGGTCTTGCTGAGCCTCCTAGCGAGGACCCAAAGCAGTCCTCAGTCTCCTTGCAATCTCCAAAGCATCCTTGTGATTGGGGTTAGTCCCCAACAAAAGCTGCACATCCTGCATCGCCATTTCATACTTCCCAATAGCCTCGACAGCCCTCGCCCTCCTAAAAAGAGCTCGGACAAAGCGAGGCTGAACTTGAAGCGCCATGGTACATTCAACAATAACAGTGTCATAATCAATGGGTTTCATTTGCATCAAGCAAGCAACTATGTTACTGTGAAAGACAGCCCGGTCGGGGTGGGTTTTGGGGATAAGTTTAAGACCATCATCATGGTGTTGAAGAGCAGCCACATAATCCTTATTTTAAAACTTCTTATTGCCTTCTTCTTTAAGTTCATGGGCTCTCTTCAGAAATATAGAAGAGTCTAAATCAACACCACCATTAGCATGTGCACTAGTGTTACTATAATGGTTATCAACGGAAAGCTGGTTTGAACCACCCTTCTTTTTTCTACCACCTGATTTCCCCATGTAAGGGTAAATAATATCTCTCTGTCTGTTAAGTGTCTCTCTATCGAATTAGATTCTTTATCTTATTCAATAAACTACATAGTAGAAATCTTCAAAACTATAACTTGAGTTGCAGGATATGAGAACCCAGAGATTAGGTTTAAGATATAAATAGAGACAATGAGAGAAATGGTACTTACAGAAAAAAATACTTAATAAAGCAGTGAGCTTTGGGACTAGTTGGATTGGATGATTGAATTGGATAAAATAAATGGGGAAATGGAAGGGTTTTTGTTTTGGGTATTGGGATGTTGAACTTGAGACCCTAGTGGGGGTGGAAGAAGATAACTATCCACCTAGTTAGGCATCAGTTGATCAATTCTTTCGTGGCCGTTAGATTGATTTACTCTTTGTATTGTCCACCTTCTAAAAGTACCGTAATTTATACGCGTTTGGTTCGCTGGAATGTTTCTGAGAGAATTGAAATTTGTCAGGAATTGGAATCTAATTCCATATTCTGTTTGGTTCACAGACATGTCAGATGAATTTGATTTCAATAATATAAAATGACATGATTGCCCTTCTTATTTTTTTTACTTAATTTTAGTTTGTTTTATAAATGATATGTAACAATATATTATAAAATTAAAAAAATTAATTTTATTGATTGATTATTCATTTCAATAAATTACAAAAATCATGCTAATAAACATCATAAGTTAAAATCATCCCAATTAGGGATGGTCATGGGTCGAGTTGGGTCGGGTTTTTGGTCCACCAGACACCGACCCGACAACAAGGGAACCTCCATCCGAGACCCGACCAAAATAAAATTTCACCCGACCCGACCCGAATATATAAATTAGAAACCCGACCCGAAATTAAAAAAAATATTTTTATTCAATAAAAACAGTGACTTAATTGAATATATATATATAGAGGGGTATTATTGTAATTATTCCTAAATATATAAGGTAAAATTATATATTTTTTGGGTCGGGTCGGGTATTTTTCACCCTAAACCCGAACCCGAGCCAACCTGAATTTCACACTTAAAAAAACCGACCGACCCAACCAAAATAAAGTTTCACCGACCCGACCCGAATATATGAGTTAGAAATCCGGCCCGACCCGACCGACCCGAAATAATAAAAAAATATTTTTATTCAATAAAAACAGTGACTTAATTTAAAAAAATTATATATAGAGATGTATTATTGTAATTATTCCTAAATATATAAGGTAAAATTATATATATTTTTTGGGTCGGGTATTTTTCACCCTAAACCCGAACTCGACCCTACCCGAATATCACACTTAAAAAAATCGACCCGACTAAAATAAAGTTTCACCCGACCCGAATATATGAATTAGAAATCCGACCCGACCCAACCCGAAATAATAAAAAAATAT